GAAATATGCTCAGCTATCCTCTTAGACCTATAGATACAGAGATAAACCTATCCATTTGTCAGCCTGGCTATATCTCTGGCCCTAACTCCACAAGCAGTTCTCTGAGAAGGGCAGGCTGGCACAGCCGGAAGCTGTTGTCCCCAGACAGACCCTGTACTTCTTGGGAAAACCTCAGTTCTGCTCTTAAAACCTTTCAACAGCTTGGATCAGACACACCCAGATTATCTAGGATCATCTCTCCTCCTTAAAGCAAACTGAGTATAGATGTTATAGGCCTACAAAATACCTTCACAGAAACACCCAGACTAGCGTTTGATCAAAAAATTGACAACTATGGTCTAGCCAAGTTGACATGGAAAGCTAAAATCATAGGAGCTAAGTTAATACAGTCCATATATCTTGCTTTCTAGTCAAATCTAATATAAGGGATAGAGTTTAGAGAGCCAACATTTTAAGTATGTAAGATGTTTATAATTTTTTAAAGTCTTTCTTTTTAAAGATTTTACTTATTTATGTATTTATTTGAGAGAGAGCGAGCACAAGCAGTGGGGGATGCGGTAGAGGCAGAGGGAGAAGCAGGCTCCCCGCTGAGCAAGGAGCCCAATGCCGGCCTCGATCCCAGGACCCTGGGATCATAACCTGAGAAGGAGGCAGATGCTTAATCAACTGAGCCACCCAGGTGTCCCTTAAAAGTCTTTAATTTTTTTTTTTAATTTAGAGTTAACTACAGAAATTGGTGGCATTTATCAGATCTATCTCAAGAGAAAACAATCCAGGAAAAGTATACTGCATAAATGTTTGGTAGTCCCTTCCATTCAATTAGTATTTACTCCTAAGGTCACCTTAGCAAATGTGAGACCCCGGTTAGTTCATAGCAAGTCCCAGGTAAATTGCAGCCTTCTGCATTATGGGTTAGAACAAGACCCATGTGCCCCAGATGGGGTCACATGGCAAGGTCAGGCAAGGTCAGCACCCCGAATGTGAAAATGTGGGAGCCAGATCTATCTTCTCAAGCTCTTTCTCTGGAAATATCTGTGCCACTGACAGTTTGAAAACTGGCCCAAAACCTTACCTCAACGAGTTTTGTGTATGCCTAAGCCAGAGTTCCCCAACCTTACTCTGTCCGCCCTGCCCCTAGCAACTCAGTAAGTGTTTCATGGTGCTCCTAAACCAGAGGAAATGTAGTTTTGTTTATCAAATACTTAGGTCCAAACAGTTTTGTTTATTAAATACTCAGGTCCAAGTAAGATAAATAAGAATTAATGTCTTAGCAACACAATAGTCATTTGAAAAGATAGTTCACATAAATTGAAAGAAAAAATATTTTTATTTCATTCCTAAATAACTACATCTCCTGTTCCAGACAGATGCTCACATGGTAGTTGTTTTTCTATCACAGTAACCAAAAACCCAGCTCTGCAAAGTTATGTCATCAGAAGAAGAGAAGCACAATCTGCAGTAACACCATGAACCGCCTTGAGTTAGTAATTCACACAGTGAACAACAGTATCACTGTGTCTTCTTCAAAAATTTAAAATATCCCATTACACCCCCATGAGCTTGTTGTGCACTCCAGAGTGCCTCAGTGCACAGTTTGGGAACTAAAGGGCCTAAGCACTTGTACAAGCACCTGGTTGAATTCTGAATAACATAGTTAAAAACCTGAACATTTTGGGGGCACCTGGATGGCTCAGGCGGTTAAGCATCTGACTCTTGATTTCGGCTCAGGTCATGATCTCGGCTTCATGAGATCGAGCCCTGCCAGGGGCTCACGCACTGCGCATGGAGCCTGCTTAAGATTCTTTCTCTCCTCTCTCCCTCTCCTTCTATCTCTCCCCCACTTTAAAACAAAACAAAACACCCGAACATTTTCAAGATCAGACCTTCTAGATATTTCCCCATTTTGTATGAGAAAGATGCAAGTTATTTAACTAGGAAGCCCGCTGCGTGATATCTCTACGTTTAAGTTACATTCTCTGAACGGAAGCAAATGAACAAGTACACTAATATGAAATTATCACCAGCGGATTCTTGCAGCTTTTGCTTGCCTCTTGCCATGCTGAAACGGGGAGGCCTTCATCTTCGTGTGCACTTCCTTTCCTGTATGTTTTTAGTCCATTCTTTGTAGTCCCGGTGTGAAAGGGATTTAATGTCTTTGTGTCAGGAAAGACCTATTTATTCTGACAAACTGATCAACCTCCAGGGTGTTCGTCTACCATGAAACTGATTTTATATCTCATCCACTAGCTAATAAGTTGTGGAGTGTCTTCCCTGTCACGCCGAGAGATCAGGATTGCTTCTGTGGAAGGCCCTGGGATGAAATCACACAGTGAGCGCCTCTCAATGATTGAACCGTCCGGGCTCAATCGAACGTAGCATGTGAGAGCAAAGCAATGGCTCTGGGGCAAACCCAAAGATGAGTGGACACATTAATTTGAAAAAAAAAATTGTTTTTCATCTTAAGAGGAGGCCCTAAGATCCACTTCATTCTCTGTTCACTGGATTAGCTTTCAGCTCAGGGAAAATAAAAAATGCCAGAAATTAAAACCCAGTGGTGTTGGCAGATTGTGTAAAGACAACCTGACACACCCGTCTCCCACCAACCTGAATCTTTAAATAAAGTTTATGTCCCACAAAATGAGGACCAGTCTCTTTGCTGTGAGAAGAAATAAGACTACAACACTCTGAAAATAATGCCTAGAAGGTAGATTGCCTCATATCTATAGAGACCTTTTCCTTAACAAATCCTTGCCTTTCTTGTTTAATATGCTCGGTGATTAAGACAGTTTTCAGATGAGCTGTTGAAACAAGAAATTGGACACAGGGAAGGAGGGAGTTCTGTTTCTGTGGTGAAGACAGCATGAAGGAAAACGGCCTCAGACGGGCTGTTCTTTTGGAGGCAAGGAAGGGTGGTGATGTATCGGGGGATAAAGCTGGACTTTTCTGTACCCTGTTTGTCTGGGGGTTTGTTTATCAGTTCAAACCAGTCTTATCTGAAGCAAAACTGCGCTGACCTCCTGGCTCGTGCAATAGAATATTCATTTGAGAACTTCAAGCCTCTGCAACTTTTCTGAGTCTTCTGGATTCTCGCTGCCATTACTCTATCCATTATCGATGGTTGTGTAAGAAACACCCCAAAACTTAGTGATTTAAAACAACAACAGTCTTGTTCCTGTTTTGCTGGAATTCCTGTTTTTTTCCGACAAGGCCGTAATTGGGGCAGGGTCCTATAAAGACAGCTTGTCTCTGTTCCACCTGGGATCAGCTGGGGCAACTAATCCAGGGGCTGGAAGAGCCCCTGGAAATACGGCTCAGACGCCCGGCAGGCAGGTTGGTGCCGGCTGCCTGCAGGTAGCTCGGGAACACTAGCAGCAGCGGAAGCTGCCCGTTTCCTCAGGCCTGGGCCCAGAACGCAGCATACCATCACCTCCACCATGGGCTATTGGCCAAGTAGTGAACGCATGCTTATTTAAGCAGAAGAGACCTAGAACCTGCCTCTCCATGGGAAGAGTACCAGCTCATTCTGGGCCAATGCTGGAAAGCCACCCCCCACTGCCTACACTCCGTACTCCCTGATCCTCTCTGCCAGAGCATCTTCTCCAAATACAGTTTCTACTGTGAGACGTGTTCCTCCCCAGGGAGTTAGAGAATGTTTCTGGAAGGGAACCTGTTTTCTGGTAAAGCAACTCCTTCCTCAGCTGTGAAACAGGATGGGAGGGGAGGAAATAGTCCCTGGCTGTTATCTGCTTGATGTTCAGAACATGTCGTGTGGCAGCTGACATGGACTAGCTCACCCACCGCGCGCACGGATCCGACGGGATAGTTGTTGTTGTTACCCTCGCTTCTCAAAGGGCACAGGGCTGAGGCACAGGTGCCAGGGTGGCTTCCCGGGGAGTGTCAGTGGGCAGATGATGGAATGATGGCTTCAGTCCCATGTGTCCGGCTGCAGGGCCCACACCCTTAGCCACACCCTCTGGAGCATGGCTGGTGGCGATGGTTCTAGAGGGGCCTCCAGATTCCCGACGGTGGGAGGACAGCTTCCTTTTCCAGCACTCGCTTTGTGGCTTCCTTCCCTGAAGGTGGCGGGTGGAGAGCAGTGAGTTGCTCCCCAGGTCTCTTCCATTCTGTGGTGTGTGAATGATGAAAGGGGCACCGTCCCCAGGTGAGCAGACCCACTCCAGGCCGGGTATCAGCTACCTGTGCCTGCCATAACAAAGTACCACAGACTGGGGGCCTCCAACAACAACAGTTATTTTCTCACACTCCCACAAGCTAAAATCCCAGGAACAAGGTGTCAGCAGGGTTGGTTCCACTGAAGCCTCTCTCCTGACTTGCAGATGGCTGCCTTCTTGCTGTGTCCCGCCATGGTCATCTCTCAGCCCGCGTTTGTCTGTGTCCTAATCTCTTCTTTATAAAGACACCCGTCACGCAGGATTGGGGCCGACTCTCTTGACTTCATTTTACCATACTTACCTCTTCAAAGACCCTATTTCCAAATGCAATCACGTCCTGAGGTACTGGGGGTCAATCTTCACCATATAAATTCACAGGGGACACAATTTATTTCTTCTTTCCGTAATAGGCTTTCAGTGCAAAACTAAGTCTACTAACATGAACTTATAAATCCTCTGTGTATGTAAACAGATCTTGGATGTGAAATTCTTGAATAAAGTTGATTTCCTCATATCCTAACACCAGTACCACTCAACGACAAATATTTATTTACATTCTTGTCTCTTCTGCCAGACTGGAAACATCATAAAGATAGGAAATAAGACTCATGCATCTTTGAAACCCTGCTATAGGGCTTGGAACATTATTTAGTAAAGAGCGAACAATACCATCAAAATATAACTATTTCTCTTTGCAAAAAGTAATTTGGCACCGAAGCCACCACACAAGTCAGAGGAATGACTGTAGTGAGCGTGGAAAAGGAAAAACATGTTAGGTCCAAATGCAGCCAACAAACCCATCCCTAACACGTGTGTGTTTTTCTGCAGTTTGTCTTCTGCCGGGACTGTAAGGAAGCGTACCATGAAGGTGAATGCGGCACCCTATTTGAAGCCTCAGGAGCAGTTACTCAGGTAGAGTGCCCTCTTCCTTCTACAAAATAGGGCTCGGGATATGGGTGAGAGACAGAAGCTTTTTCCTGAAGGTCAAGAGGGTTCCAATCTAAAAAAAACAAAAAAACAAAAAACAAAACAAAACCAAAAACCCAAAACCAGACTAGTGTCCTATAGCCACGGGGAATGGGACTCTGGCTATCCCACCCTCACGACCCTCCCAGAACCACCCACCTGTAGATGGCCATTGGGATATGCCCCAGGGGGATATGGAATAGGGGAAAGGAACACAGCATGATCAGAGGAGTCTTTAGAGGAAAGAAAAAACAATTTAACAATTTCTGAATCACATCAATCAATATGAACCCCACATTTATAGTTGTTTCAAAAGTGCCTTGTTTAAAATCAGTGGTGAAACTATCTCCATGAATGATGTGCATAGAAGTATTATATGATGCAAGGATATTATTGTTTCTAAGCAATATCATGAAGTATGCTAAATTGTATTTCAGTCTTGATTAGGTAAAGAACGTGTTTACTGAGCCTTAATCTCCAATGTACTATATCAAACTTAGGGGAATGCAAATACATCTTCTTTTATTTATTAATTATGATCAGCCAAACCTTAGAGGAAAGGAATAAAAATTTCAGCACAGTTGATGAATTTGCTCACTATTTTTCTACTTATAGAGATGTTAACAAGGTTTTAAACATCAAATCTACCCAGATAAATCTTTTAGTTACTTTATTGACAGGAATCTCATAAATAGACATAGAAATTTCAGAACACTTTAATTTTACAGTACAGAATTTAAAATATCTGAATGTTCTGACATCAGAGCATAAAGAAGTATATCTTTGTAAGGTATTCTGTGGGCTTATTTACTGATGTTAACACAACCACATAAACATAACTAGTGAATTCAGGTCTTCTCATTGGCTTCTAAAATGTTGGCCATGAGCATATTGCCATTTCTGCAACAGAAGCAGCAAGTACTCTTTCTGGTGATTTTATTTTAGCCCAGGGGCATTCAAGTACGAGCTCACTGCATACTGATGTCAGGAATAATATTATCCCTGAGGCACCCCTGCCTCAGCACCGCTGTAGCCCAGAAGAGCTAGACTAAACCAAGACGCCAAGAAATGGAGTTGGTCTAGCAACTTAGATCCGTATGCTCTTATGACCACAAACATGGACAAAGGCTTCCATTCAAGAAGAACTAACCAACCATGGTGTTAAAGACTGAGGTAACCCCCCAGAATTTTTTAAAGCCATTCAAACCTTAATGTTCAACTCAGGAAAGTGGGAGAAAGGCTAGAGCTGGCCTTAAGCATAGATGACCAGGACCCAGGGGCCTGTATCTGCAAAGACCACCAATTAGCAAACATTAAATCAGGCATTTGTATCCACCAGACATTCTGCTGGAAAACTGCAGATAAGTTTTTTTTTTAAAGATTTATTTATTTATTTATTTATTTTAGAGAAAGAGTGAGCAGGGGCAGGGGCAGAGGGAAAGAGAGAATCTCAAGCAGACTCCTCACTGAGCACAGAGCCTGACACAGGGTTCGATCCCATGACCATGAGATCATGACCTGAGCCAAAATCAGGAGTCAAACACTTAACCCACTGCACCACCCAAGCGCCCCTGCAGATAAATATATTTTTCTTCAGAGTCACATAAAGGAGTCACAGGGGAGACTTAAAGGAAAATATATAACAATGTTGATATGCTAAAACGAAGCTTAGGAAATCTGTAGCTTTGTATAATGCTTCCCCAGAAAAGTCATGGAAGGTAGATCAGAGTTTGTCAAAAGGATAGTGGGTTAAGGATGATAAAGAGCATCCCAGCAGAAAATACTGCATGGACAAAGATACAGAGGCAAATATCTTATCTGGTGCACAGATATTTAATAGATGTTTGTTGAGCGATCGTTACATCTATAAAGAAAAAGACATTATTTCATTCACGCATCAAATATGTGTTAAACACCTATAATCCATTAGGCTTTGTTCTAGGCTCTGGGGATAAAGTACCTGCCCTCACAGACTTTATATTACTTTATTAGATGCCACAAGGGCTGCACGGTCAGTATGATAGGAATCCAGAAAAAGAATAGTTAATTCAGGACAGTTATCCCAGAAAGAATTCAGGAAGAGGTGGTCCTCAATAAGACCTCCCTGAAACGACGCTCCTTCCTTCCTCGCTCAAGCTGCTGGACCAACCTCATACCCCTCTTATTTGAAACAAAACAAATTGACCAGTCGAGCTGGAAGAGTCTGTCTATCCACTGTTGCCTGAGAACAGAAGGCAACTTCTTGGGGTTTTGCTGCCCTTTTCCCCTGTGTCTCTGATTTATTAGGGTCCTACAGGAAAAAGAATCCAACTCAAATGTGCACATGATGAGATTTTAACGAAAAGGTCACGGAGGACCTACAGTGGTGGGGAAGAGTCGCAAGAACCCAAACAACATGGAGGGCCTCCGAGGGCCGCGTCAGTGGGGAGCCATGACCGCCCAAGGCCTGAAGGGACAAAAGAAGGAAATGGTGTCACACAGGGAATAACCCTGGGGGCTGGAGCCATGGACGTGGGGCCTCTTGACAGCCAGCATAACCACAGAGGGTCCAGCATTGCCAGAAATGGGCCCCAAGCAGGAAGGGAATGAAGATGGACATCTCCACTTCTCTCTCCCACCCTCTGATCTCTTGCTGATGTCTCCACATCCAGCCAAAAGCGAACCCTGAGGGGTCCTTGCAACACAGCCTGAGGGAGTCAGCCTTCCAGGTACAGGCCAGAGGAGGGGAAAGAATACAGAATAACCAGTGAATTCTCTATGATCTGATTTACCAAGTCTCCAAAGCCTCCTGATTTCAATCATAGCTACTCTTGGACGTGGAAAGGGAGGAACCACATGAACTATTTCATCAAACTAAAAGACCCAATTCCATTCAGTAAGAGAAAGGACTTTTATTTTAGTAGGATCAATTTGTTGTCTGTTCCCTCTATTTCTCTCAAAAAGCAGATGACCTCTGCAATTCCACTGATACGAAATCTTTGAAAGGAGGACACTCTACACATCCGACAATAAAATCTAATTGCAGGCCCCCTCTTGGAACTGAAGGCTTTGGATGCAGCCTCGTGTCTGGATTTTGTTCATACTAACAAAGTACCCTCATTAACCCTCTTCACATTTCCTTTCAATTCAGTTCACCTGTAAGGTTTCTCCTTTCAGTATTTGTGCCTGCTCGCCACTGTTCTCCCTTGAAAGCTGAGTGGTTTCTAGTCTTTGATATTACATTATCCAGTCAAGCAAGCCCATGTCTCCTGGGGCCCAGTCAGGCTTTTTTTCATCAGTTAGGCTGCTTGACCCTAAACTTAATGCATTTTTTGATTAATGCAATATTTTTCTTTAAAAAAAGCAAACTCAAAAATTGGTTTTAAATTGGTTTTAATATGTTGAGCAAGCTTTAGGTTGAAACTGCTGGGAGTTTGGGAAATCGGTGACAGAAGATCAATCCATCACAGGCTAATGAGAGTCCAGTCCCATTTGCTTCCCCTTGTTCTTGTCTGCTTGTTCTCCTCCCCATGCTCTGTCTCCTTCCATATATCCCCTCTGGAGGCTTTCTAATAAGTAAACACTTGCTCTTGCAAACCACATAAATTGATGCACTTTCCCAGTGGTTCCAAGGAGTAGATGTTATTCTCCCTATTCAACTGGAAGGAAAACTGAGACTTCTGGATTTTTAATGGTATTGTCCAAAGCCACAAAGGAAGTCATTTTCAGTGGCAGTAGCCGATCAAAGTAGTTTGGGAACAGTGAGTGCTCTCACTGCGTAACAAATCTATAGTGTCTAAAGGGAGCGTACCCATCCCTGCCTGCCAAGCTCCTACTCAACCTTCAAGACCCAGATCATATGTCACCTGCAGGAAGCCATCTGCCCACCCCACTACCTCCTTGAAGCTCTCAGACAACTGTAAATGCTTCTGTTATACATTCATCACACTGAAATATTGTTTCCCTGTCTCTTCACTAAAATTCAGAGCTTTGTTGGTGCAAGGTTCGTACCTATTTTGTCCTTATAACCTCTAGTGCCCGGGATGCCTAGGATATAGTAGGTACTCACTAAGTGCTGTTTGAAAGAATGACAACTCTTTCCTTCATCCCCAAACCTCCCTTCTCACCATGAAGCCAGGAAAGCATTCTACGAGAATGGTGGAGAGGAGTCATCCAAGATGGTGACATAGGAGGCTCCTGAGCTGCCTGCCCTCACAGATGCACCAAACCTACAGCTACACATGGGGCAGTGCCCGCTGATAGAGATCCAGAAACTGGCTGAGTGACTCCTGCATATCAGATGAATAAGAAAATACCCACATCAAAATGGGTGGCAAAGGCTGAGACACACTCTTGCCATAAACCCGACTCCTGGCACTGTGCCATACAATCAGGACAGAACCCCCAACTCACAGCTTCTCCCAGAAGGGCGAAGGGTTTGGACCCTACATCTAGCACCCCAACTGTAAAGACTGAGTGCCAAACACCTAGCTCTGAAAACCAGTGAAGTTTATGACTATGAGACCCACAGGACTATAGCAAACACAGAGGCAGTTCCTACGGGGCACACCGCAATCACCACATCTGTCCCCACAGGACTCAGCATAGAGGGAGCAGGCAAAACCTCCCATCTTCCAGTCTTTCCATGAAGGAGGTTTACCTGCATACTTTGAAAGCTGCTTCCTCCAGGCCAGACTTCTAATTTAGTAGGCACTAGGGGTTGGCTGTAATCCTCCCCAAAGACCAAGGAAACACGAGGATGCCTCTCTCACCTTCTCCCTCTAATCCACCAGAAGTTGCCAGTGTCCTCCTGGAAGGAGCTTGTGCACAAGTCTGCACCCCAACTAAGGGCTCTTACCCAAGGGATGGGTCTCTGATCCCTGGCCCTGATAGTCAAAGAGGCTTCCATTCATGAGTCCCACAGAACTGTGGCAAACAAAGAAGCAATTCTTAACTGGCTATCCCCA